AGCTCCAGTTCCAAGGGATTCCATGCCCTCTTCGGAACTCCAGAATACCAGACACTCTTGTGGTACACATACATACATGCAAGCAAAACACTCATTCTTATAGAATACATATAGCTTTACAAAGTAAATAAAAATAAAAATGAAGATAGGAAGCAGTGGTGACCAGTCATTTTCTGCTATTTTATTTCCTTCTATCCTGATACCTTTCTCCTAAGTTAGGAAAAAAAATTGTTTGTGTGTGTGTGTCTGTGTGTGCGTGTGTGTCTATTGTGTGTCTGTGTGTGCGTGTATGTCTATGTGTGTGTCTGTGTTTGTGTGTGTATGTCTGTGTCTGTTTGTGTGTATCTGTGTGTGTGTCTCTGTGTATGTATCTCTGTGTGTGTGTCTGTGTCTGTGTATGTATCTGTGTGTGTATGTTTGTATCTGTGTGTGTCTCTGTGTATGTCCCTCTGTGTGTGTGTGTGTGTGTGTATGTGTGTGTGTGTGTGTGTGTAAGTGGAGGCCAAAGGTTGCTGCTGGGTTTGTGTTCTGAGACAGGGTCTCTCACCGAACCTGGAGCACACCGGTTGGCTACACCAGCTGGCCAGCAAGCCCCAGGGATATGCCTGTGTCTGCCCCTTCTACTCTGGGGTTACAGGCGTAGGGTACCACGTTCATTGTTTAAGTTGTTGCGGGGGATCCAAAATCTAGTGAGCACTCTAGTGACTGTGACTTCTCCCCAACCACAGAAATGTTCATAATAATTATGTGAAAAAAAAGAAAAGTAATAATAATTTACGTGAAACTAGGAATGTAACTAAGTTGGTAGAGTGCTGGCCTGGCATGCACGGAGCCCATATCATATATCCATAGCCCACTCATCCAGTACCGCATAAACCTTGCAGAGTTGTACATGCCTATAATCCAAGCTCTTGGGAAGTGGAGGTAGAAGAATCAGAAATTCAAAGCCTTCCTCAACTACATGGGGAGTTCAAGGCTAGCCTGGGCTAGAGACTCTGCCGATGATGATGGGGATGACGATGATGATGACGGTGACCACCGAGGAATGACTCAGTCAGTGATTAAGGGCATTTGTTCCTCCAGAGGACCCAGGTTTGGTCCTCAGAATCCACATTGGTTCATAACCTTCCGTAATTCCAGTTCCTGGGGATTCAATGCCCTCTTCTGGCCTCTGTAAGCACCAGGTACAAATGTGATATGCATATGTCCATACAGGCAATACACTCACACACATAAAATAATAAAGCTAAGCTGGGAGGTGGTTGAACACAGGAGCCTTTAATCCCAGCACTCAGGAGACAGACAGAAGTGGATCTCTGTGAGTTCAAGGCCAGCCTGCTCTACAGATCAAGTTCCAGGACAGCCAGGGGTACACACAAAGAAACCCTATCTTGAAAAACAAACAAACAAACAAAAACAACAAGAACAAAAATCTAAATAATAATAATCAGTTGTCGCAGTACCACGTGGTGGTGGTGATGGTGGTGATGGTGGTGAAGATGATGAAGGCTGATAGCAACGGAGTGTTTATCTTGTAGCAGAAACTGTGCTAGGGGCTTCTCTGGTTTCGTAGCCCTGAGAAACAGACTTCCTCAGTCCCATTTCACAGATGCATAGGCCAAGGCACACAAAGGCTTAGATACCTTGCCTCGGTTTGTACAGCTATCAGAGCTGGAATTGGGGTTCAAAAACCAGGCCATCAAGCCCCCCCCTGGACACGGCTGAGATAAACGTTTCCTACTGTCTGTGGTCCCAAGAGTCAGACAATTGGAAGAGATTCTGTTTGGTTTTATTTGTTATCTGTTTGGAAAGTGGTGCTAAAACCCCCAGGGGAAGCCCACAGGTAGTAACGAATTGAAGTCCTGACATTAAATCAATCGGACACGTTCCTTTTAAGATTCCCATTCTCAATTAAGGTGGCAATCAGATTAACCGAGATTGGCTGGGAAAGCGGGGAGCATCTTGGAGGCTCTGGAGCGTGAAAGGTCAGCCTGCTACTGCCAGCTCCTGGCTCGGCTGCCTCCCTGGGGAGAATTCAGCTGCTGCAGAATTCTTCTTTCAGTGAGGTCTGTCTAGAAACCAGTTCCTGACTCCTTCCCCGAATTCATTTTCACCTGACCCTTCTCTTGTTCTTCTCCATCCATAATCTTCCCTGGGTGAAAGACCGGTGACGGCACCCCGCTGTTGTGCCTCCCAACCGTGTACCTGTCCTGCGTCGCCGTCAATGTCCTTATCGCCAACTGAGCAGGACCCAGGCTCTGCCTGTGTGGCTCCCTGGCTTTAATTACCCAGGGCAAATGGCTGCCTCGCTCTGAGTAATGAGAAATCGGGAGCAACAGGGAATGATTAAATAAATAAATCGGCATCTGGTCAAAAGACGGAATAATAAGCAGCCATTAAAGTTTGGAACAACAACAAAAATATATCTAGTGAGAAGGTCACGGTATTCCTGGTACAAGAAAGTACGCTTCAACAGCAGTAGCCCATGGGACCCGGATTTCATGCATGTGTTTTAACAATACTTGAAAACACAGAGACAAATCTAGAGCCAAAGCCCCACCTTGTCAATCATCATCTCCGAGTGATGTGATTACAGGGTTTTCATTCACTTTTACTTCTTATAAATGTGTTCCCGAGAGCGTGATGTCTTTTTCAAGCAAGGGAAAAGGGGACCATGGCTAAGGGAAGTTGGTTCGCTTCTCCCCGAGCGGTGGCTTGAGTTCTCATGGCATGCTCTACCACTGAGGATCCACGTCTGGCCTCACTAGGTGGTTTTCTGGATTCATCCAACTCAGAGATAACTTCAGTTTGCTGGACCCTTGGACTCACCAACTCTGTGGGGGCCTCATGTCCCCAGCTAAAGGATGGGACCCTTGGTGGCTGTGTGTGTTTATATTGAACTTCCTTCTCCTGGCCACATGGCCCAGCCAGTGCCCCACAGCTGCTGGGGGTTTAATCAGCATTCACACAAGCTGGGTCCTCATGGGACGTACCACACGGGGGTGACGCGCCTTTCTCTCTGAACTTTGTCCCATTTCCTCCAATTCATCTGAAAGGGCTGTCTGTGCCGTTAGCCCTGGGTTTAGACTTTATTGTGAATTGTTTTTTGGTTTTTTTTTTTAATTCCATTTGTTTTGGTAGGGATGACCAAGTCTAGCCCTTGTTTTTACAGGGAGATTATAGAAGAAAATAAATATGGACTATTTTGAGCAAAAAAGGCTTTGTGTGTGTGTGTGTGTGTGTGTGTGTGTGTGTGTGTGTGTGTGTGTGTGTATGTGTGAATGGGGATAATGGAGCTCATGTTTTTAAGACAGAAAATGAGAGCCAAGCGGAAAGGAAGGACTTCCCTGGGTCTCACGCCGATCAAAGGCAGGTGAAGTCCCCCTCACGTCAGCCTTCCTCTGGGCCTGCTGTGCTCAGGATACTGTACAGAGGTCAAGGTTGCAGGACCCAAGGCCTGGGCAGTTTACAGTTTTTCTAGAGGAAGAAAAGATGAATCACTGAAATAACAGTCTGAACGGCCGGCCGGGCTCTGCCTGTGTGTCTCAGTGCAAAGTACGCACATGCGCAGACTCCAGCTGGGGGGGAGGAGGCGGGGGGGGGGGGGGACAGGGAGGGATGGCTGCTGGCAGAGGTGTGAGGGATGGAGGCATCCAGGGAGGTCCAGGTCCTGAGTCAGGGTCACCCCCCCACCCTAGCTTGTACCCAGCATCCCTGTCACCTCATTTACTTACTGCATGCCCCACTCCCTGTTCCTGTTAGGACGTTCTGTCTGGCCTCTGAGCCTTGGGAGGCAGAGAATTAACAAAGCACCTATCGTGGAGAATGACTGAAGGACAGGGTGACCTCCACCTTGAGTGGGCTTCCCTGGGTGAATGCTACGTGCGAGGGTTGCGATGTTGATGCAGACATGGAAGCCCCGCTAACTCTTCCGCTGGGAAGCAAACTAAACCAGAGTCACCTTAAGGCTACGCCAGCAATGGGTGAAAACAAGAAGACTGGCCGATGGCCGGATTGATAGGATAGCGTCAGGCGCCCAGGGGGATTCTAATCCAGCGACAAAGAGCAATGCAGAATGATCGTGGAAGGGGGGGGGGAGTGAAGATACATCTTAGCTATAGTAATGAGGGAATTAGGGAGCCTCCTGGCAAAGAGACATGTGCTGTGAGATCTTGGGCAGGATAATCTCTCAGATCCTCCCTCTGTCGTACAGGATCATGCCAGGTTCTATGTGAAATGCTTTCAAAGTACTTGGCCCAAAGCCAGTGGTAAACCCTGGGGTTTGAAATATTACAGATGAGCCTGAGGGAGCCAGAGGCAGTGAGGTGAGGGGGCGAGGAATACAGAGGGCATGGACTCTCCTGTGTCCTGGACCTGCAGGTCACATGGGCTGAGAAGACGTCGTCACCAGAGGAGGCCTAGATTTTGAAAAGTTCGCGATGTTTAGTATGGGGGATTTTTGTTCCCATCTCCCGCTTGTCCCAGGCAGTTCTGGCCAAAAGAACAGATTGGTCCAGACCCCAGGATGGGGGCAGGCAGAGCCCAGGAGAAAAGGCTGCCATGGATAGGAGTTGGCAAGGCTGACAATGTTGGCCAGATGATGTTGCCAGCAGCCGGGGCTGTTTGCCATCAGATCCAGAACACCCAGAGTGGGGCCAGCGCCCTCACCATGGCTGCACACCAGTCCCTGAGGAGCATTTAAAGCCCGTGCCCATCCTCAGAGGGAAAGGATCATCTGATGGGGTCATTGGGGCCACGCAGAGGCCAGAAGGTAGCGGGGAAGGCCAGGGTACGTGGCATGGGCAGGTAGGAGACCCCTCTGACCTCCGGTTCCCCGTCTCCAGCATGCCTGCTTCAAAGACCCTGTTTCGTAGAAAGATGGGACCCCAGAGCCATGAGCTGTGAGCTGGAACTGGGGTGTCGGAGGTAGTGGCAGCCCTGTGGAATTCAAGGCCAAGATCCTTCCCAGAGCCTCCAAGGCCAAGGCAGGCGTTTATGGAACTGTTGCCAAGTGCTTTAATGCGTCTTTGATGGCTTACAAGTTTAACCCCATTGACTTTTCCTCAGTCACAGCCATGGCTTTCATTCATGAAGTATGTATCTGCACCTCCTACCAACCTTCACCTGTGCTGGTCCTGGGCTAGAGCAGACACTGTCCCCACCCTTGACCAGCTTACCTGCAGGGGACATGATGTGGACATGGATGGAGGGAGTCATTTGGAGAACATGCTATGAAAATGGATGAATTGATGCAGGAAATTTAAAGGGAACGGAGTCAAGGGAAGCTCCCCCAGTTAGGTTGTGTGAAACCCCCTTGAGAAATGAGCGAAGCTCCCCTTCCCCCAAAAAAAGTAATGGGAAGAACATTCTGTAAGGGAGAATCTTCAATGCAAATGTCCTTGTGAAGAGTCCTTGCATCTGGGCTGAGGAATCCTAGGGGAAAAGGAGGAGAGGGGACCAGGACAGTCTGACCATGCTTGATTTTCAAGTTGTTGGGTGCCACTGAAACCTTGTAACTGGACAGTCTCTTAAATTCTGTTCATCGCTTGATTTTCAAGTGTCAAGAGATACTATATATATAAAACAGGAAGTTGGCCAGGCCACCTTTCCTTCACTTTCCTTAAAATAGGTATAAAAGATTAGGCGGGTGACAAGAACATCCTTTAGAGAGTCGCCTTTGGTGCATGGAGATTGCATCTGCCAGGCATCTCCAGAGAGTGAGCGATGACCCTGGTGGAGAACAGTTCCCTCCTGGAAATAAAATGGGTGAGGATTAAAAGGGACAGTATAGGCACGTGGCCACGAGCTGATCTCCACCCGCCTCAGTGTGCGAACATTAAGAATCAGTGCTCTCAGGAGCGAGATTAAAGAAACGATAGAAAAGCCTATTGAATTCTCGTGCCAATGAACTGTTCTCAGTTGTTTCTTAATGCTTTCTTGCCAGGATTGTGTCTCCTTTAAACTCACCTGCTCTGAGGCAGGCAGAAAACTCAGGGAGAGGCTTGTGGGTTTCCCAGCACCCCCCTTAACTGCTTTGGGTCCCAGAGGCCAGGCCTGAGCCCAGCGCCGCCCCCTACTCCCCACCCCAACCTCCCATCCCTGCTCTTCCCCTTACCTCCAGGTTGCCCAGGAAATACAGAGGCTATATAGCACCTACTGCCCTATGACTGAGATTCCAGAAAAACTCACTCTAGCTATATGACCGTGACTGGTCAGATTCTAAAAGGAAGCAGATAAGATGCCGATAAGCCCTGAGCTGAGTGTCCTGTTGACTCTTCTGTTGGGATGCACCGAGCGACACAGCTTTATATTTACCACTCGGTGAACTGCGTGTTGAATAGCTGACCAAACCATTGTTTTGTTTCCGAGTGTTCCCTCCCTCCTAAACCAGGTTCTTCATTTCACATCCCTACCTTATTTTAAACCCTGTAAAGGTTTAAGAACAAACAAAACTCCAGCACCCAACGGAACAGAATGGGTCTCAGACACCTGTGAGCCGGTTTTTCTCGTATAAACACCCCGACACCCAAATGTCTAGAAGGTTCTACTGTTAGGGATTATTTCCTTCACCTTCCAGGCTTTAAAACAAAACAAACAAAACCGAACCAAAAACATGTGCCTTCTAGAAGACTGCTTCTCAGACGCCGGCAGCTCGTGAATTGGTTAATTGGATGATCTCGGGGAATGGGAATTTAGTTTTCGGGGGCCGTTCATGAGATCCATCGGAGACCAGCATCAAGCCACCCGAAGGCTCCGGTGTCTGGGTTTGGAGGACCCTAGGAAAGAGGCAGGGAAATAAGGAGGGGATGAAGGTGACATGCTTCATGGAAAACTGGTAGAGATGACAGGCTCTCTCGGTGGTTTCTCCCTCCCCACCCACCCCCCCACCCCCCACCCCCACCCCGCCTTCCCCATCTCCAGCAGCGCAATGATGCTTCAGGGCATTACAGTGCAGCTTTGGTGGTCCCGCACAGGCAGATGACCCCCCCAGGACTTCAGCCCTAGCCTTTCTGGGTGTGGCCCATTCTAGAGGCCACTCACAGGCACCTGTTTCCTCCCGTTCTGTGAGGCGCTCCTGTACTCTGGGTTTCTTGCTTGTGTGTCTGAACCCCACATTCTTACCTTATCCTCTCGCCTCTAGGAGGTACTCACGTTTTGCTGGACTCTGACCTCGCTTGTCCTGTCTTGATGCGTCACCAGTCTTGGGTGGCCCACCCACACAGCTCCCTGATTAGACATCCCTGTACCGTCCTGCATATGACATCAGGGTGGGTCTTTATTGTCGCCTGTTACTCAGATGACGCTCAAAGATACCTGTTAGCCTGGGCACAGCGGTCCTCGGTCTGGCCCTGCCTGGTCTTTGTGTCTCCTCTTCTAGGATGTTAAGAAAGATGCAGTGTCTCTCATGGCCCCCCTAACTGGGAACTATTACCATAGATTTGGAAGGAATTGTGGATTTGGGTTAAATTACTCAAGGTCATGCAGTAAGTAACCAGAAGAACTGGGGTTTCAGCCCAGGCATCTCTGTCTGACTCTCGAGCCTAAATTACTTAGCCACCATGCTCTGCCACTTTGCAGACTCCAAGAGATGCCAATGAGCCTCAGTATTGCCTAGCCGTGGGTGGAAACGCGGCTTCTCGGGCCCCGCCCCAAGCTCATGTGCACTCTCCTGCTCCCACCCCCATTTGAATTTCCCTTTTGCACATGTGCTCTGAGTTTTCCTAGCATAGTAACTATGTAACCCACCCAGCCCTGGTACAGTGGTTACCTGCTTGGTCTCTGAAGCTAGATTTGGGGGGACTAAATCCCGGTTGGCCACTGTACAGCTCTAGGCGGGTCATTTAACCTCTTCATGTCTCAGTTTCCTTATTTGTAAAACAGGGATAAATAGCCGGGCGGTGGTGGCGCACGCCTTTAATCCCAGCACTCGGGAGGCAGAGGCAGGCGGATCTCTGTGAGTTCGAGGCCAGCCTGTTCTACAGAGTGAGATCCAGGAAAGGCGCAAAGCTACACAGAGAAACCCTGTCTCGAAAAACCAAAAAAAAAAAACAGGAATAAATAAACACCTCCCCCCATGGAGTTGTTCTAAAGATTTAATAAGTTGCCATATGTCCTACCTGGGCACCTGGAGAAAGTGTCCAAAAAGCTGGGCCAGACAGATGACAGTGTAGCCTATAGCCTTAAACCATGGGCTTTGAGACCCCGAGAAGGAATGTGTCCCCTTGGGAGATGTCCCATCATAAATAATCCTGGGTGCCAACGGGACATGGCTCTAAATGCTTTTGCCCAGGAAGGAGCAAGGAGGAGAAACCAAGACAAACCCAGGAAATGTCTGGTGACCAGAAGAGCCTGGGGTAGCGGTGACTGAGGGCTGCCTTGTGAGGCAGGGGTGAGGCTCACAGAGGGTAGTTCCCTGCTACCCCGCCCCTGGCTACCTTGCACTTCCTCAAGTTCACATCCATTCCCACATACCCAGATCATGAAGCCTGAAGCCCAAACCATGGCTGTCTCCTCCTCCTGGCTGGATGCCACCCAGACTTCCCAGCCCGAGCTCCCTCACAGCGTCTTCCACTGGCCCGTGCAGAGCTCTTTGTGTGGTGAAGGAATTCCCACTAAAGCAATTCATTCTTTTCTCGGTCACCCCTCATCTTCCCAGTGAACATTTGCATTTCAAGTAGAAGGCGTGAGCAAACACAACTCATTTGTAATTGGCGGGTGGAGGGGGGCATTTTTGCGGGGTGGACTTTCCCAAGCCCTGACAGGCTCCACTATGAAACAGATACCCCTCCACTTTCTACCCACCCCCACCTCTCTTGGCACAAAGGCTCTGGGATGCAGCCGGAGGACAGTCTTGCCTGGGAGAAGGCTAAAGAGAACAGTTTCTAGATGCTTCCATTTGATACATTAAGTTATTTTACCAGTTCGTTTCATTGGTGATTTCCGGACACCATTGGTTTCTCAGCCTCAGAGATCCTGAACAGGGTCATTTGGGGCTTCTCGGTGGAATAAATTTTAACTTGGTAAAACCCTGCTGCATTGTTCTTGGTTTTTCCGTTTGGCCAGGGGACCAGGGAAGGGCTGGCATGGAGAACTAGCCCAGCTCTTCTACGCAGTTTCAAATGCCACAGACAAGAGCCTTAGAAATTCACTGTCTGTTAATAGTTAATGATCCTGTCCATTCATCATCATGTTGTGACCATTCAGCAGAGGGAGTGGACAGGAGAGGACACTGGAGGAGACTGAGGCTCAGGAAATAGGGAGCTGGGAGCCAGTGAGGGCAGGGGCAGCAGTCACCCCGCTTCCCCGTGTGGCCTTCATCCTCCCAGGACATTCTAGACTCATGGGCTGCAGGGGTAGGTTTTATAGTCTGATCCCAGAAATTCATGGTGTGTGTGTGTGTGTGTGTGTGTGTGTGTGTGTGTGTGTGTGTGTGTGTGTGTGTGTGAATGGTAGGGTGGTGGCATGGCAGCACCTGGCCTTCACATGAGCTCCCACCCATGAGGTCTTATCCTCCAGGTGTTCTTCTGAGGGGTCTGGCTTCTTCCTCTGAACACCCCACTCTGCCCAATCCCTAAACCAAAGACACAAACAAAAGACCAATGTCTTAGCATGTGGGAATCAGTGGGAGACCTCCACCCTGAGAAAAACAAGGCCCTTGGCCCATCAGTCCTGGTTTCTTTCCTCATAGGTCCTGGATCCCCGGTCTCTGCAGCCCCATGAGAAGGCTTCATTCCTAGTTTTGTGGTTTTTGGTTGTTTTGTTTCGCCCATTCCAGGTGTGTGCGGCTGCTGTGGAGCCCTTCGTCCCAGATACAAGAGGCTGGTGGACAACATCTTCCCTGAAGATCCTGAGGTGGGTCACATTAAGGGGGGCTACATGGGCTGCTGACTAGGGAAGGCCTTTGGGCAGCGCCTCTTCCCGGCCCACAGCCTAAGAATGGCTAGCGGCTCTGTCCCATGGAGGATGAGGACGTGCGACTCTTTTGAAGGCTGGGTGTGCAGAAGGGCTGTTAGGAATGTGCTGGGCTGTGGCTGGACGGTTGACACATCTTTCTCACCCTGTCTCAGTTGCTCCCTCTCCTGATGGAAATGTTTTCCCGTCACTTAGGGAAGACGTCCCCCTGTCTAGCGTTTGGCTCGGGAACCCGTGTCTCTCCCCAGCTCCCTCTGGCATCTGTCAGGTGTCTGGCTGTGCATCGCGCAGGAGGTCTGGCTGCTTGGCTTCCAAGCTGTCACTCTGTGTGTCACTCTGTGTTATGCATTGTGGTCTGAGGATGTCAGGATTTGATGCATTGGCCGTGATATTTGAGAATTCTGCATGGGCAGCTGGAGGATCCTGTTTCTATTATTCTCTGGAGAATTCCCTAGGAGCTGAGGAATTGCCTCCTTTATGTCTTAGTGGTGACTATCCACACACCTTAATTCTGAGCTACCTTTAATGATACCATGTCCTTCTTCCACACCAGTGTGTATCTCTACACCCACATGTATATACATGAATGCATATACACACAGGCGCACAGACCTACCTCTGTCCATATTTGTATGTATGGGGTGTATGCCTGTGTGCAAATGTGTGCAATGCATGTATGAGGCCAGAGACTGACATCAAGTTCCTTTATCACGCTCCACCATGTGTTTTGAGACAAGTCTCTCACTGAACCTAGAGCTTGCTCTTGTGGTTAAACTGGGGACAGTGAGCCTCAGGGAGCCCCGTTTCCACGCCCACCCAGCTCTTAGGAAGTGCTTAGGTTACAGGCACAAGAGCTGCTGTGTGCAGCTTTTACAGGCTCTGGGGAACTTGAACTCAGACCCTTGTCCTCACACAGCAAGCATCATGCTATTACGGTATCTTCCCAGCCCCATGCTTGGAGGACAGAAATGCTGTTTTCATCCTTTCAACATTCCTGATGCCCGGCCCCTGTATAATAGACACCCTGTAAATGTCAGCTCAATTGAATTAGTATTTGCTCCAGACTTGAACCTTCCCACCGCACGGGGGGCCATGGTGATCTTAAGCTGCCTGTCTTCTGCAGGATGGTTTGGTGAAAACCAACATGGAGAAGCTGACCTTCTATGCCCTCTCGGCTCCAGAAAAGCTGGATCGCATTGGTGCCTACCTCTCAGAGAGGCTCATCCGAGACGTGGGGCGCCATCGCTATGGGTAAGTCAAGGAAGGGATTTTCAGAAATTACGTTACATTTTTAGGGTAAGATAGTGTAATAACATTTCAAGAAAAAAAGTATGGGGTGAGCTATTGGATATACTGAGGAAGACAAGACCAGGACCAAGGAGGGTGGGTTTACATGCTCCTCCTGAGGCAGGTGAACTTGGATGATTCTGTGGACATTTGGGAAGGGGACATGCTGGCTTCATTTGGCATCATCGAGTCCTCGTGTGCCCACATAGAACTTACATGGTCAGTCTGGCTTTCAGTGTGCTTCTTCTCACCAACCTGGCTCCCCTTACTGTCTGAGGCAGTGAGGTGGAGCCAGCCATGTTCTGAGAAGGCAAGGTTGGGGTGGTTTGTCCACTAAAAAACACACTTTAGAGAAAGGGCTGGGATGTGGCCTAGTGTCTGGCATGTCCTAGGAGCCTTGGCTTCAATCTCTAGTGGAGTACCTCTGTGATCCTAGCACTCGGGAGGTGGAGGCAGGAAGATCCAAAGTTCTAGGTCATCCCCAGCATCAGAGCAAGGCTAGCTTAGGAAATGTGAGCTGCCATCTCAAAACAAGACAAAAATACACTTCAGTGAGATATTTATCATCTTCATCTTCTGAGAGGAAAGGACTATGTGGGTTTCAAAGAGAGAAGAAATCTTAAAATGACCAATACATTTAGCTATTTAAATCTTGATGTAGATTTTATTTATTTATTTGGTTTTTTGAGACAGAGTTTCTCTGTGTAGCCCTGGCTGTTCTGGAACTTGCTTTGTAAACTAGACTGGCCTCAAACTTATAGAGATCCACCTGCCTCTGCAGGGATCAAAGGCGTAGGCCACCACCACTCGGCCAAAACCATCAGATTTTTAAAACTGAACATCAAAGATAATTATTAACAACAAATAAGATGAAAGATTCAAGGTTGCACACTAGTGACATCATAGGAAAAAGATTACAAAGGGTCCAATCAGAGAGCCAGCGTCGTCTAGATAAGTCAGAATACAGTCCATGCCCAAACTCCTGGACCGTCCTATCACATTAATATACTTTTTTCTAAAAGTAAATATTCCAGTACTAATCAGGAAATGGCAAAAAAAAAAGAGGCATTTTCACACTTTTCTGGAAAGAGAACAAATCGGTTAAAATTTTCTAGGTCATGAAATATGTGTCTAGATCTTCAAAACTATAGCCCGTTTCCGTCCGTGGCTTCCCAAGGAAACCATCTCAATACCTCTACCTTATACACAGAGATGGTTTTTGCAGTGTTTTCTGTCTTTTTCTGTCTGTCTCAAAAAACCCAAACCAAACCAACGGAGTCTCAGGTTGTCCAGGCTGCCTTCGAACTAGCTATGTAGCTGAGGATGACCTGGACCTCTGGATCCTCTTGCCTCCTTCTCATAAGTACTGGAGCACAAATGTGGGACACCAGGCCCAGACCATAGTGCTTTTTTTTTTTTTTTTTTTTTTTTTTTTTTTTTTTTTTGGTTTTTCGAGACAGGGTTTCTCTGTGTAGCTTTGTGCCTTTTCCTGGAACTCACTTGGTAGCCCAGGCTGGCCTCGAACTCACAGAGATCCGCCTGGCTCTGCCTCCCGAGTGCTGGGATTAAAGGCATGCGCCACCACCGCCCGGCCCATAGTGCTTTTTATAACAATGAAAAGCTAGACATGGCCTAAGCGTTTGGCAAGAGAGAACTCCAGTAAGTTATGGTTTGTATCGTATGATAAGATAATAGAAATGGAGTTTATAAAGATCCCTATCTAATGATATTAAAAATAGGAAAGCTTAGACTCTAATGGCCATGTACTAAGTATTTAAAGTGAAAATATATATATATATATATATATATATATCAACAAATCTCAGTGGCTAAAAAGTGAAGTCCATATGCCGACGTGTTCAGAGCATTCATCTGTGAGTGGCACAGTTGGAGGACTTCGTTTGTCTCATTGTGTTTTCTGTTCCCTACACATTGACTGTTGGGCATGTGCTACTTCCACAACAGAAAAGTGGACCTCAGTGTGCACTGTGCTTGCTCCTGCCCTGCAGCCATGATCACATAATTCATAGGCCAAATAGCTACCCAAGTTCGAGGCCAGCCTGGGCTACCAAGTGAGTTCCAGGAAAGGTGCAAAGCTACACAGAGAAACCCTGTCTCGGGAAAAAAAAAAAAAAAAGGAATCAAGTCCAGAGCCAGGTGGTGGTGGCACATGCCTTTAATCCCAGTACTCAGGAGGCAGAGGCAGGCAGATCTCTATGAGTTTGAGGCCAGCCTGGTCTACAGAGTGAGTTCCAGGACAGCCAGGACTACATAGTGAGACCCTGTCTTGAAAAAAAACCAAAACCAAATCAAACAAACAAAAAAAATCACCTCCAGGCTCCTCAACTTCTAGCGTCTCTTCCACTGCCCAGCCATGCCCACCACACCTATTATATAACCAATACCAGACAGACCGGCTCAACAGTCCTCAGGTTGAGAAACCAAGGATCATCAGGAAATGCTGGGGTTGGGGAGGAGGCTGGGCATCAAACCGAGACTTTGTGTATACTAAGGATGTGCTCTCCCCCCAGCTCTGGCAAATCTTAAACCAGGCTATCTCTGATGTGAAAACAAAAACGCGAACTAATATGTTTCCACGACCATGCTCTATATAATAAAATTAGGCTGCCACTCAATCAGAGGAGGAGCATGAACGCCTTGTGCATACCGGTTACATAACTCATTGCCTTGATGGGCCGTAGAGCACATTTCAAGCAAGGAAAAATGGCTTTAGCCTAGACTGAACCAGACGCTACCGTGCCAGCGGTAGCATTAAACATTTAATACCGATTCTGCCCGAGCTCTCTGCAGTGATGTTTCTGGTGATTAAAAATGTCCATAGCTGACAGAGCCTCTTCGAATCCTGCCTCTGCTCCTGGAATGACAATTCAAAATTGGCATCATCCTGTTAAAAATAGCCCCTCGCAGCGTCTAGGTATTTAAAGCCTGAAGGAGGACTTTGATCATAAACATTTGGAGAAATGCCTGTTAGGATCCTCTTTTTCTCTTTGCCCTTCTGCGGCTCCCTGCCCAACACCCTGGCCTCTTCCTTGTCCTGGATGGGGGCCTTGGAAGAGCAGCATTTTCACATCAGTGACGGGAGCTGTGTCTTCCTAGTATGATAGGGGCGGCTAATTTTTTTTTTCTTGGTTTTTCGAGACAGGGTTTCTCTGTGTAGTTTTGGTGCCTGTCCTGGATCTCGCTCTGTAGACCAGGCTGGCCTCGAATTCACAGGGACTCGCCTGGCTCTACCTCCCGAGTGCTGGGATTAAAGGTGTGTGTCACCGCCGCCCGGCTAGGGGTGGCTATTTATGGTTTGGTTCTATGGATATAAACCTTGAACCACCTTCTCATGACCTGTGAACCCCAGAGCCATCTCCTCATGACCACTGCCTTTCTGCACTGTCACTCTGTCACTGCCGTGTGGGGTGCTGATTCCTGAGTGTCTGGCCCCAGAAGGATGTCAGCTGTGAGCAGGGAGAAGATGGGCGAACTTCAAGGTGTTGGTATAAAGGGTGGTGATAGGCAAAGGAGCCAAACCCCAGCGTTTCTTACGCTTCTCTCCTTCCTTTCATTCTCTTTCCAGATCAGCCCAGCGTCCCTAGGAACAGGGGCACAGGGGAAGGGATGACTGTGCTGAGTGAGACAGGTCCACAGGGGGCACCGAGCGTGGACCGCGGTGTGCAGGGTATCTTATTAGACAGTATCTGGGGTCCCCACTGTCTGCAGATCTGCCCCAGCCCAGGGCTCAGCACCGAGGATGGAGACAAGGAGGTTGAGGAGCCTGGCCCAAGATAACCCAACATTGTTTCTAGAGGGATCTGAAGCTGGTGTGGAGTGGTTTGACCCTTCAGAAGAGTGTGCTGCAGACTCTGCTAGATGGGGAGGGTCAGCCCGCTCTTCCTTAGCTGGGACCAAAACTGTCTTCCCTGTTCTCGGGCTTCTAAAAAACTCAGAAAGTTGAATTCAGGAATGGACTGAGAATAGACAGAATACACAGAATGCCTGGAGTAAGAGGCCCTTTATTCAGGGACTCCAGGTCCATCTTTCCTCTCCATCTGGGTGGGGCAACCAGCCTACTCATCCCACACTTCTTGCGCTGCAGACCTTTCTCTGGTTTCTCTGGCTACTTCTGACCTGGAACAAGGTGTCCGGGCAGAACCAGCCTACCCAGGAACTCCACGGAGGCACCAGGCATTCTGGATATTTTCCTCTGTGGCTATCATTCACTTTCTGTGTCAGTACCTGAGCTTGACTTCTTCTGGTTGTAACCTACCCAGCATCCTCCTCTGCTGCCCGAGATTCCCAGTCTATTCCTGGTCACTTGTATCCTGTCCTCTTCATCTTCCATGTGGGAAGCCCACACGACATATCTGGGGCTGATGTTTGCTGCGGCAGCAGCCTATACCTCTCCCCATGGCCCAGCTCCATCCTAGTCTGCTCTGCCCCAAGTACCCACAGAAACCAGTTTGAACTCTCAGACCTGTTATTACTTTGGACCCCTTGAACTCGGATCTCTGTGATGGTAACCTCATCATGGGAATCCTGTTGATGAACAGTACCCCAGAAAGTCCCATGCTCTGTTCTAAGAGAGTAGGTCTGACAGGCAGGGCACATGGGGCAAGGTAGTGTGATAAAATGGGACGAACACTGAGATCATCACTTGTGGGGGGGGGGGGTCCAAATTCAAGTTCATAATTAAAACCGTGCCATTCTTGGCATTGGGATCAGAAATGGAGCATCGAGGGTTGGCATATTTAGGGAACTAAGCCCTGTGCTTCTTTATGTCTTTACATTTCTATGTCAATTCTACGGTGATAATCACTCAATAGCCAAGTTTTTTTCTAATAAAGAATAGGTTTTCTTTTTTCCTTTTTTCTCTTATCAGGGCAATCTAGATGCCACCCCCATCCCCCAAAAAACAATAATGCTTGAGAACTTGAGAGGCCTTCTGGAATCTTCTCTTGCCACCCACCCCATCCCCTTCCTTTATTTATTTTGCTTAAACTCTATTAAAGGTAAGATGTCAGTAGAAAAACACTGGCATGACCCACAAAAAAAGGGGGAATTTCTCTTTGCCTACCATTATTTTCTAATTGTGCTTGGTGACTTGGCCATGTCCAGGTGTCCCTACAAGGAAGCCTCCCCACCCCACCCCCCCGCCCCGTGCCTGTCCTCTCTGGCATGTCCCTTCTGGCAGGGGTCCCAGCCAGTTTTCTTTTCCAGCTTGGGTGACTTGAACTCCCTGAAATGCCAGGCCTGCAGGAGGTGTCTTAGCTGTGACTGACTATGCCCGTCTGGGGAGGTCAAGGTCATGGAGGGTGAGGCATGCCTATCCTGGGTAGGAGGAATGCCAAGCCAGGGCTCCCACTCACCAAATGAATTCTAAGAGGCAATGCTGCCTTTGTGTTCCAAAGCCACCACCGAGAGCTGGGCCTGTAGCTCAGTGCTAGCGTGCTTAACAAGCGTGTGCAAAGCCCTGGGTTCCACCCTAGCCCCTCAAGAAAAAGAACTTTATAGATAAACGGATGACATGATCCATTTTTTAGTATACCCAGAGATGACTATTTCATAATCTTTAATAATTGAATTTAGTAATATTCAAGGATTTAATATCTGGCTCAAGCTCATAGAGATTAAAGAAATAAATTTTATAAAAGTGGAAAAGATTTCAAAGTATAGAGCCTTTTTTTTTTTAAATGACTATTTTGTACAGAAGTTAGTGCATGGATGTTTTTAGTAGTTGGTGTCCGATGGCTGTTTTTAAAAACAGATTTAGGGTCTGGAGACATGGCTCAGTAGGTAAGAGCACTGGATGCTCTTCCAGAGGACCCAGGTTTGAGCTCCAGCACCCACAGGGCTGCTCACAACCATTTGTAATTTCAGTTCCAGGGGGTCCAATGCCCTCTTCTAGCCTCCAAAGGCACCACACACAGACATGCATGCAGGCAAAACATTCATGCATAAAATAAATAAACCTTAAAAAATAAAAAAAATTTTAAAGGCAGGTTTAGGGCTGGGTGGTGGTGGCACACACCTTTAATCCCAGCACTCGGGAGGCAGAGCCAGGTGGATCTCTGTGAATTTGAGGCCAGCCTGGGCTACGGAGTATGTTCCAGGAAAGGCACAAAGCTACACAGAGAAACCCTTGTCTCGAAAAACAAAACAAAACAAAAACAAAAAACAAAAAACACAGGTTTAGAAGACACCATGGATTCTGTGACTTTGTGTGGATGTGCCAAGTTGGTTTGGGGCTTAGGCAGTTTACTACACATTTTCTGTGGTTGGATGGTGGCCACAAGAAGTACAGTTAGGGCCTGGAGGAAGCCAGGTGATTCCTCCTAGGCATTTGTTCTATTGACTCGGAAATTTTTTTTTTTAAGACCAAAAATATCAAGAGTTTATAAATATTCTCCTCGGGTTCAAAGATGCATTCGATCTGGATTGATGAGGAGGAACTGGTCTTTGGGCTCATTCTTAGTTATACATGTAGCACATGAACTTGACCAGGGAGCCTTAACATTTTTAAGCACCCTTGCAGCTCGGTCTCACCCTGATTCTCAGTTCCGGGCTGGAGCGAACGCTTGTTAGAAGCACGGCACAGACACCGGCAGCCCACAGAGGCATCTCCTCCCTCAGATACTGCCCTAGTCAGGTGCAATAGTAGGCGAGAGCGAGACCGAGTGAAGCCACCTTGTCTCTGTCCTCAGGTACGTGTGTATCGCCATGGAGGCGCTGGACCAGCTGCTCATGGCCTGCCACTGCCAGAGCATCAACCTCTTCGTGGAAAGCTTCCTTAAAATGGTGGCCAAGCTGCTGGAGTCGGAGAAACCCAACCTGCAAATCCTGGGCACCAACTCGGTAAGGGGTGGGGCTGGGGACGGATTAGATGACCTCTGGGTCAGTTTGTTCCATCATCACTCGATTTCTGATGCTAAACAAGTGGTTCTCAACCTTCCTAATGCTGCGACCCTTTAATACAGCTCCTCATGTTGTGGTGACCCCCAACCATAAAGTTATTTCATTGCTACTTCATAGCTATAATTTTGCTGCTGTTATGAAACGTAATGTAAATATCTGATATGAAGGATATCTGATATGCGACCCCCAAAGGGGTCTCACCCACAGGTTTAGAACTGCTACCCTATGCACAGTATATGTCTTGTCTTAGTGTCTCTCTTTGTGTGAGCAAAGAGGCATTGTGTTTTAATTTCAGTGAATATACTACTTGCATAAGCATATGATAAAATAGTCCTTAAAAATAAAATTTGCTGGAGCTGGAGAAATGGCCCAGTAGTTAAGAGCACACAGCGCTCTTACAGAGAACCTGAGTGTAATTCTCAACACCCATCTTGGGCTGCTCACAACCATCTGTAACTCCAGACATCTCTGGATTCCTCAGGCATCTGCACGCATGTGCACAGACCCACACATATGTGCACGTAATTAGATATGATATAATGAATCTCAAAAATAAAATAAAATGCGTGGGCTGGGTAGGATGGCACACATCTTTACATCCCAGCACTGGGGAGGCAAAGGCAGATGGATCTCTGTGAGTTCGAGGCCAGGGAAGGCTACATAACAAAACCCACATCTCATAATAAATAAGGTCCTGCTCCTTAGACTGATGACTTCTGATTTTTTTCCCTAATAAATTGTCCTCATAAATAATTTTCAACGAGGGCCCAAGAAATAGAAAAGCAGGACTGAACCTGGGTCATTCTGTGGAGAGTGGAGGTGCCCAAGGCCCTTATGACTCAGTGTCCCATGGGTCACCATTTGAAAGCTGGTCTCAGTTACATGTCCTTTAGAGATAAGAGCACAGAGATGAAGGCCCCAGAGAAGAGCGGAAGACTGTGGTGAAGCAAGAAACGGGCTGTGGGTTTAGGTCTGCCCCTTCCCAGCTGGCTGATTCATGTGGGCTTCTACCAAAATCTCGAGAGAGTTGAACTTGGTCTCTGTGGGTCCCCTGGGCTCTGTTGCTGGTGACAGTACAAGCAGATGCTACCATGACATGTTGTGATTCATGAGAGAAGCGGTAATAGGCGTGCTACGAAGTCCCACTATGATGTGTGTGCCTAAATGTTCTCGAATGTTCTGGCTGCTTTCTTTATCTGCTGCCTTTTGCCTTAGTCCCAGCCCCTACCCCCCCCCCCCGCCCCCACCTTAGAGCATACTTTAAGCTCCGGGTCTTTAAAAGCTTAGATGCAACTATTCTATGGCTTTGGTGAGTCCTTTATCTTTCTGCAGAGAGAACAGAAAAGTAGGAGGTTTTTCCCTTTATGTTCCCAGCGAGGTGTTTCTGACTATTTCTTTAAATTTTTTTTTTAATGTTTACTGATTTCCTTGGTGTATGTGTGTGGGCATGAACTTGCCATATGAGCAGTTCACAGTCAGAGGGGAAGTCACGAAGGTTAGTTTTCTTCTTAACACCTTTTGGGTCCTGAGGATTGAACTCAGGTTGTCAGGCTTGGCAGCAAGCCTCTGTACCTCCTCCTGAACCATCTTGCTAGCCCTATTTCTGAATTTTCAATCATATAAGTCATGACTTTTCTCCTGCTCTGTGACAGAGTTGCTTTAACTAGAACATCTCCTAAGTGTCCTTTGCAGGACCCGATGTGCCAGTCCTTCCCTTCCCACCAGCTGCCTTTGACAAATTACATATACAGCAGCTAAGGGCGAGGCCCTTTGTCATGTTGCCCGGGCAACAACTTCATGTACTGTTTTAGTTGTCGTGTTTGAGATAACGACAGTCTGGGAAAGAGCATCTGCATGGAAAATAAACCAGTCACCCTGCATCCACGGGGGGCCACAGAAGCAGGTGGCCAGAAGCTCTTGTTTTTCTCAAAGGGAATCCTAGCCCAGGGGCAGGTATTTATTATCTACAGCCTTGAAAATGCCACCTCCTCTGAATTCGACATCCTGGTGATTCAGCATCTTAGCTGGGGAGCAGCGATTAGCGGGGGTGGCAACCCTATAGTGTTCAGCTGAACCTGCAGTGGGCTGGGATTCCTACTTGGAGGTAGCCCTTCCTAGGGTTGTCCTTCATTTGGACGCTCTGGCAAGTTATCTACGCCGAGAACCCCCAGAAGAGCCCTACTTCGCATCATTTTAGATTTGCAGGGACCCCAGTGCCCGCCTTGCTCTGCCTTGGGACGTTTAGCCCAGGAGTGTCAGTCAACAGGGTCTTCACAGGGATCTGAAGCTTTGTGGGAGCTAAGGAAGATGGAGGGAGAGGAAGGAGAGGTTCCGGTTTCTTTCTTCTTTACCCAGCATCCAACTCCTTTTAACTGTGTATTGTATAGTCACTGAAGCACGCTTTAACTTAGTAAGAAGATTTCACTGCCAGGAGAAGGAAAGAGAAATCAGATGTGGTAGGATGCACCTGTAGTCTCAGGACTCAGGGGGTCTTGGGAGAAGCTTATCTCAACAACCAAAAAAAAAAAAAAAAAGGTAAAGCGACCGGAGCAGACACCGTGAAAGTCAAAACAGCAATGGTTCTAAGACCTGCTGTCACGCGCTAGAATGGTCTTGCTGAGGCAAAGAGGAAGGGACGGCAGAAAAAGACCAGCAGCTCCCAGGCTGCAAGAGAGGTGAGATCCTGCCTCTGCCCGCAGACTCTCTGTTGTCCTGTTCTTGACAACAGAGAGTTTACTCAGCGCCTTCTGTAGAAGGGGGAAGGGCTAACTCTGCTTGGAGACACTTTGTTGGTACCAAGTGAGCCCAGCAAGGCTCGGATTCCCTTTTCAGGCCAGGGGAGAGCTGTTGGTGCAGGGTCACTATCTGGAGTAGACGCCCTCTTTGTTACCCCAAGCCCTTAATCACCCTCGGCTTTCCACACATTTGTGAGAGGCATTGTGAGGACTGGTGATCTGCTCCAGCAAGCTTGGCGCCCTTTGTTATAAGGAAAGAGCCGGAACTTTGATCTTGAAAGGGTGGCCCTTGGCAGTGTGCTCCTGGCCTTTGAAATGTCGTGTGTTTGGAATTGTCAGTTTGTTGTCATGGAGACTTTCTTCATCATGGCTATGTCTTAAAAAAGAAAAAGAAACAAAATTTCGACTTTATTCTCTGGTGATTTCATACATTAAGTAACTAGTATTTTAATAAAAACCATGTCTGAGGGCTGGAGAGATGGCTCAGAGGTTAAGAGCACTGACTGCTCTTTCAGAGGTCCTGAGTTCAATTCCCAGCAACCACATGGTGGCTCACAACCATCTGTAATGAGATCTGATGCCCTCTTCTGGCCTGCAGACATACATGCAGGCAGAACATTGTATGCATAATAAATAAATAAATAAATAAATAAATAAATAAATAAATAAATCTTTTTTTAAAAAAATGTCTGAGGCTGGAAAGATGGCTCAGTGGTCAAGAGCACTGATTGCTCTTCGGGAGGACCCACATTAGATTGCTCACAACCTCTTATAACTTCAGCACCAGAAGATCTGATGCCCTCTGCTGGCCTCCTCAGGCACCTGCACCCATGTGCATATCACCACACACAGACACATGTAAACACATAAATAAAGAATAAAAATAAATCTTTTTTTTTTAAGTGACAGTCAGGGTGAGTGGTCACTCTGGTCATAGTGTGCCTATAAGACAAGTACTCATTAACTCCATTTTATAGGTGGGACTGTTGAGGCCAAGGAAGCGTAAGTAACTTGCCGCAGGTCACCCTACTGATAATTGGAGGAGTTGGAATTTGAATGTATAGTTGGGCTCCAAACCCATCCTCAAAATACTAATAGGGGGTACCAGTTACAATGGTACCATGCTTGTATTTCTTTGCACTTAGGAGATAGAGGCAAGAAGGTCATTCATTCCAAGCCATCTTGAGCTGCAAAGCAAGACCTTGTTTTTGCTTTTGTTTTTTAAAGCCAAACAAATAAACAAAAAACCAACCACAAAGGGCTGGGCTACAGGTCATTGATAGAGAGCTTGTTTGTGTGCAGAAGGAGCAGCGTTTGTTCCCCAGCACAGCAAGTAAGCAAAGAAGGAAGGAGAGAAGGAGGAAGAGGTAAAGTCCCCCTATAAAGTTCTGTGGTGGTTTGAATGAAAATGGCCCCCGTAGGCTCCTAGGGAGTGACACTATTAGGGGGTGTGGCCTTGTTGGAGGAAGTGTGTCACTGGGGGAGGGGCTTTGAGATTTCAGAAGCTTCAGCCAGGCCCAGTGTCACTCTCTCTTCCTGCTGCCTCCTGATCCAGCACCATGTCCGCCAGCTCACCACCATGCTTCCCGCCATGACAATAATGGACTAGACTTCGAACCTATAAGTCAGTCCCAATTAAATGTTTTCCTTATTAAGGGTTGCCATGGTCCTCCAGGCAGTGGTGGCAAACATCTTTAATTCAGCAGTTGGGAGGCAGAGGCAGAGGCAGGTAGATCTCTAAGTTTGAGACCAGCATGGTCTACAGAGCAAGTTCCAGGACAGCCAGGGCTAAACAGAGAAACCCTTTCTTGAAAACAAACAAACAAACAAACAAACAAACAAAAGGAGTTGTCATGGTGTCCCTTCACAGCAATAGAAATGCTAGCAAAGACAGGTTCCAACTATGTCCCAGCCTGGTTTAGGCCCTCTTAGACGTGAGTATGGCCTCTTGGCCATAACCCCCATGAGGCACCCCATAAGAGACCTGAGTCAAGACCCCTAGCATGTCCTCTCTGGCTCCTCATATCAACCCCTGGAGGACTCAGGAGCAGCATGGAGTGGGCTAAGAGCTGCCCCCCCACAGGGACACCACAGACTGGCACTCTCTGACCAGGTCATGTGAGTAACTGGATTGCCATGCCTGTAGCCACCAGGCTTCCAGGTTGAGAAGAAATGCCTTCTACCACACTATCAAAACAGTGTCTT